CGATTTGGTCGACATTTCCGAAATATAGGAAATGTCGACCAACATAATGTAATTTTTATATTACCATCCACTTTCATGTCGGTGAGCCTCGACATCGACATATGTCGGGCGACGTTAGCGACATTTGGTGACATTTGAAACCATGTTCAAGACAAACAATCTGTGTTGGAAACACTTGAAGTCCCTAATGTGCATCACCAAGTATCTTCAATTAAAACAAAACAATTCATGACCAAAGAATCACTCCCCCTATCTTGTAATTTTCAGATCTGATATCCCTCCAGCGTTAAACTGGATGTCTGAGCTCTCCCCCTGAATTCAAATATAGGGTACAAATAGTAGCATTAAACTGTGTGGTAACCCTGGCATGAAAAAGTTTGAACACAAAGAACACTTCTGATTTATTACAGAGAAAATATATTCAAGTGTAATGTATATGATCATCAATTAAGGAAATAAAATATCTAAATCCCATTTTGGAAATCACAAGAGATGACCAAACATCACCATGCAATAACTGAAATGGAGCAATAGCATGTATATAAGTAGGGAATGGTAAAATATGAGCTTTACTTAAGCAACTAGACATGCAGATTTTATCAACATTCCTTGAAACAAAAGTAGATACAGGTAAACAACCAGATGAAATAAGTGAATCAAGATTCCTGCAAAAGGATGGCCTAAATGATGGTGCCAAATGTTCCCATCATTATTACAGGACAAAAAAGTAGTAGAAAGTAAGCAAGAAGAACTAGTAGCAGGAGAGATTGGCTTCTTCTCAAAATCCATGTAAATAACTATCCCAGTCTACACCCCTTCCCCTTCACCTCCCCAGTGTATTGATCTTGTATCAAACAACCATCGTGTGAGACAGTGGCAGCATTACCATGTTCAACAAGCTGACAAATAGATATTAAATTGGAAGTTTAGGAAAAAACAAAGTTTGAGGCAATTTGTAAGGTGGAGAGTGAGAGGTAGATAAAGATCATTACAACCAACAATATCAAGCTTCTCACCATTGGCTATAACAATATGCTTATTAGACGGGAGGAGATAAGAAGACTGACCACAAGTGGTCCCTGTCATATGGTTGGAGGCACCAGAATCTATGATCTAGAAATGACTAGGAGATGCACAATGATAGGTACACCAATGACTCACCAGAAAAGCCAAAAGTAAAAAAGGCAAAAGAACTGAGGCATCGGCTGTCGAATCTTCTCTCCAATCATAACACTGGAAGCATCTCCCTTTGGTGGAGCAGTGGAGGATGATGGATCATCTGGTCCTTCAATTGAAGTCTGATAGGCCTTGTGTTGGTTCTTCCCTCCAGAATAATTTCCTTTTGAGGTTGAGTGCAACATTTTGTGATAATATATGCCCATGCTTCTTACAATAGGTACACATTCTTCTCCCTGTAGTGAGACACCACATGACCAAAGTCCTTACATTCATAACATTGCACCTTGGACAAGTCCTTAGGTTTGGACTTGTTTTCCACCAGAAACATGGTCTCCACTCCATCATTTTTAGCATTCACTACTAAGTAACCATTCTGGTTTCTTCCCAAAATAGCTTACCAAGAATAGTATCAAGAGAAAGTACAGTACAGTATCTCTACACAAAATGTTTGACCTTATTACCTCATATTCAGGTCAGAGATGCATTAGGAAATGCATCATTTTCTTCCTATCAAAGTGTTCCTTTAGAGCCTTAATACAACACACTGATGATATCTCTACCATGTGGACTAATCCATATTCTGTCCAGAGATTAATGAAATCAGCATAACACCTAGATTTTCATTTCACCCTGACTATACAAGAAGATTTCTATCTCGTTTTGATACTGTCTTGAGAAATTTGATTGCTATTAGACCTTCTCCAGATAATCATACATCTCCTTGGTTGTCCAGAGACCCCGTCATGGGAATAGTAATATCTGTAGTAACTGAACTGGCAATCCAAGATATGATTTGGGCATTGTTAATCCTCCAAATTTGTAGTCCCTTCGCATTAGTTTTATCAGGATTGGTGGTTGTACCATTAATCTGCCCCCACAAACCCTTTCCCTTGACATAAAACTGAAAATGAAATTGCCACAGGGCATATAGTTGGTCCTATTGAACTTAATAGGAAGTAGCAAAAGAAAGCTGAAAACCTTTCAACAATCCAAAAAAGGAAGGTCCACAGATAGGCCAGACTAAAGAAGGGATCAAAACCCTAGCAAAATAAATCGGATCTTCACCAAAATTTATAGGCTGAAAGAACAGCCTATGCAGAGTCTAAAGTTTCAGCCCTAACAGATTAACCAATTGAAAGAAACAAGTACATTACCAATCTGAATGGTGTCTTTCTCTAGGAAACAGAACTTTCTTGTTCAGATTGAAACTGCTTCAAGAACATCCCAATAATAGATGCAAAAGGTTGATGTCGAATCCTTGTTTGAGGCTCAAATAACAGAGAACTAGTTCTAAGATCAAAGGAGTGAGAATCAAACCTACTCTAATACCATCTTGGTGCAGTTCAAACTAGGAAAGATGAGCAAATTTGGTGTGTCTAATGAATCAACTACACCAAGGAAAAGATATTTATATTAAAAGAAGTAAAAGGGCAATTCTGTCCATAAGTTACTAGAAGTAATAGTACACAATAAAAGAATAAAATAATATGTATAGCAAGCAAAGTAAAATTACAACTTTAACCCTCACTGTCCTTGTCTCTACAAAAATAGCCAATAGTTGAAATTCTATTACTACTTGCAACATGTTACCGTCCTAAATATTAAAGTGCTTGGCTTGATGTGTTCCATCAATCTTAAGGCTTTTGGCATATTGGTCAAGCATACAACATTTGGTATAAGAGCCTACCACCACATCTCAAGTTCAAATCACAGAGAGGATTACCTAGAGAAAAGTGAAAGCTACCATAGAAAGGGCTACCTGAGCAGAGTGAAAGCCGCCAAAGGGAAATGGTTACTTGCTGCTAGTGTGAGCTGTCGTGGAGAGGGATACCTACCACTAAAGTGAGAGCTACCCAGAGTGAAGCCACCAAGATGTCGGCTGCAGAAGCGTGGTGGTATGTTACAGTCCTAAATGTTAAAGTGCTTGGCTTGACACATTCATTCCATCAGTCTTGAGGCTTTTGGCATATTGTCCGGCTCTGATACCAAATGTTGTGTGCTTGAACAATACGCCAAAAGTTTTAAGACTGATGGAACGTGCCAAGCAAATCACTTTTACATTTAGGACCATAACACAACACTTAACGTTATGGAAATAATTCTATATAAGGTCCATGATATTTGCTTGAAAGGATAACAACAAGATTGAAAATTAAAAATTTCCCTTTGGTTTCTTTTCATTGTTTGTAATACTTAAGAACCTGTCGTCTTCCATACATGATTCTTTAAAAGAGGGCGTAATGCATCTAATTATATTTTGTTCTATGTTCTTAACTTACTCTATATCCCCCATTATGTGTTACAGGTTTGCTCATCCTAGGCTATCCTATGTCAATGGGCTAGTGAAATATCATGCATCATGTTTTAGTATTTTAACCATTATTACATATATAGATTGAGTACCTACACAAAAAAGGTGAAGAAATGGAAAAGGAAAAGAAAAATTGTAGAAGGATTTATCAAGCTTCCCTTCACATGCCTTCCCAACAAATTTTCAAGATATGCAAAACTACTCTAGGCAACCACAAGGAAAGTTGTTAAGAATTAAAAGAAAAAAAAAAAAGGAAGACCTCTAGAAAATTAAATGATTTGTCCTGAACATGGATGAAACATTTTGGCTCAGTTTGGGAAGAGTGCAAATACAAATATGCATAGTACAAAACCTTGTATTTGCACTGTACATATTTGTATTGTAATTATATGGTTGTATTTGCACTCTTCCCAAACTGAGCCTTCAGGTCTTCTTCCCTTGTGTTTCATCTCATGTTCATGTAATAATACTACAAAATTTTTTTTTTCATAGTTTCCATCTCTTACCTGTCAAACCTTTTACATTCCAAGGAGGTAACAAAAATAGGTTAGTAGTTACATCCAAAAACAAATAGGATCACTTTCCATTTTTTATGCCACAATTACACACATTTCCAAGAATTGGGTGAAATGAGTTTAATCCTTTGTTTTACTTAATTTAGTGTGTTTACCGAAAAGGATGTACTTAGATTTGGGTTTGGACTCACAGTTTTCTTCATTTGTACTGACAAAGATTCTCAATTATGCAGTGATAGAGTTGGTTCCTTGTTGGAACAGTTAGTTGAAGCCATGTGTCGACATGTTTCAGATGAGTCACCTACCGTAAGACGTTTGTGCCTAAGAGGGCTTGTGCAGGTTCTTTTTTTTTTAATATCTTAAATAGATGTTACGTTGATTCATATGTTTTGAGGATTAGTCATATTGTTGAATTTTAAAAATTTTAAAAAAGAAGTTAAAATAAAGCTTGATGTTTACAGATTACCTCTTGCACGGGTGATTTGATTCTTAAAAAATATGCATTCTATATCTTTATCCATCTTGAAAATGCAGCCTTTTATGCTCTGTTTTATTTTTTAGGCAGGTATTAAATTTTGAGAAACAGGACATATGGATAGTTCCAAGGCCCCAATAAATTCATGACCCACCATTGGCTATGTCCAACTAAATCATTAATGTGATTAACTATGAGAGGTCTTAAACTAATAAAAATTATGGCAAGAGCAAGAAGCAGAAGAGAAGAGAGGAGAGAAATTGAGGCTCAAAAAACTAGGCTGATGGTGCCTTGTATATTACTTATAATACAGCGGCTGTACATAAATGGAATTCATCTTAGCCATTCTTGATGTCTAACTGGCAAAGACTCCAATCTAATGAAAGGAAAATATGAATGGAATTCATCTTAGCCATTAGTACAAAAGTCTCAGCATAATCTACTCCATACACCTATGTGAATCCTTTTCCAACTAGCATGGTCTTACACTTTTCCATGGCCCCATTTGCCTGATGCTTCACTAAGAACACCCAAGTATTGTTTTTATGGAGAGTCTTATCCCCACATTGGTGTGTTCTCTGCAAAAGCCAATGGTGAGACATGCTAACACTTATTAACCTCCTGCCCTTTTGTTAAATATATTTGGGAATGGTTTCTCTCTTTGTTTGGATGTAGGTGGACTCCCCCACCAAATGTGCAAAGCCTGTTTGCCTCTACAGCATTTGGTGAGTGTATAAGAGTGGCTGTTTACTGGACCATTTGGGAAGAAAGGAACTCAAGAATTTTTTTTTCAGGTAAGGAAGAGTAGAGAAGTAATTACTGAAGCCACCATCATTAGAGTGATTCATTGGTTAAAGTCTTTGGAATTATTTGATGATGTAACAAGTTCTGATTTGTTTAGAAGCTGGAAAGAAGTGGCAGATTCAGCCCCTTTTAAGGCTGTCACAAATCCCAGTTGGTCTCCACCAGCTAATGGTTTATTCAAACTTAACTTTGATGGCAGTAGTGTAGAGAAGCTGCGCCCCTTAAGCACTGAAGGTGTATTCAGAAATGAGGAGGGGAAAATAATTGCTCTTCTCAAGTCCAATAGGTGTAGAAGACTCTTTTAAGGGCTGAGATTATGGCTGTAATGGAAGGTCTGCAGAAGGCCAAGGATATGAGCATTAGAAAGTTGGCTATTGAAGGTGACTCCAATCCGGTGCTGGGATGGCTGCAAAAGGAGGAAGCCGGTTTTGGATTTATAACAATGAGAGAAATAGATTCAAATGGCCGACACAAGTCATGGAAGTAAGATTGCACTGGGTCAAGAGAAGTGTTAATTCTTTTGCTGATGAATTGGCAAAACAAGAGGCAGCTAGAGATCAATTGTTTTGGGCTCAATTGTAACTTGGTTGAAAGGTCAAGGGGGAGAGTTAAGAGAGATTATTTCTCCCTTTGCTTCTCTGTACTTGTTTTTCCTTAATTTAATAAATTTCAAAGTTATTGATATACCAATGACAAACAAAGGTACGAAACAAAGGGGAAACTTTATCATAAGACATGAAGTGAGAAATGAGATGTTTGGTGGTGCAAAATAAAACAGCCTAACATTTGGTAATAAGAATGTCAAAATCATCAAAGATCATCAACAGGGACATCAATAGAAATAAAGCTGTGAACATCGGGAAAATGATCCCAGCAGTTCACTTCATGGCCGAATATATGGAGTCGCCACCAATACCGATTTAAGTTTCATGAAATCATTTAAAATTAACGACTCCATACCGATCAGACAGGACAAGGTCATTCTGGGTAAGTTGAGAAAGAGAGAGGGAAGGGATTAGGCACCCCTCTCTCTGGTCAGTGTGAATACTGGATTTCCCTTCTCTGCTTACATTTGAATTAGAGCTAAGAACCTGTGTTTTCTGACAATAAGGAGGGATATGAAGAACGCTCCCTTATCCTCTAGTCCAGCCCCCTTTTGGACACAGGGGCCTGAGCAAAAGGGTAGGAAACCCTACCCCTTTTCTATCAGAACCCCCACCTTCGGACTTAGTTGGCTGGCATGAAGGATCGAAGGAGTGTATCAATCCCCACAAACATCCGAAAACACCACTGTTCTCGCAGTTGCAGATAAGATACAAAAGATACAAATAGAAAATAAAGAGCAAAAAACAGAAAGAAACTGAACCAAAGCAAATATAGATATCTGAGGGTGAGGTAAGGTCATTACCTCGATGTAGCCTTAGAATAAGCGTTGAATGCTGCTGGGTATCATCGAAACAGAAGCCAAATGAATGGAAGATTGGTTGCCTGATAACTATATCGAACTATCAGATTTTGACTGATTGAAACGGTGGTGCAGAGGGAAAAACGAATGTAAGATGGGATCGGTGATTGACCGGTAATCCAAAAAGTGAGGAAAGGAGAAGAGATGGGGAGAAGGGTGAGATTGGTACAAAAATGACGAGAATATAAAGGGAGATGTGAGTGGCTGTTGCTGGTTGGGTTCAAACCCGCCATTGCAACTAGCTACAGCAGCGAGAGAGAGGCTTGAAATGCGGTCTGAGAAAACCCCCCTTAGCACAACCCCTCTCTTTCTCTCTCTCTCTCTCTCTCTCTCTCAAATCGTCTCTTCTCTCGCCTGAACTGAGAGACCCTCTACTTGAGAGTCTCTCTCTGCTCCTAGCACAGCCTCTCAAAGGGAAACCACCAGAGCCCTCTCCCCTCTTATGCTCTCTCTCTCTCTCTCTCGGACTTTCTCCCTCTCTTTCTGAGTTTTCTATCTCAGCCTCTTGATTTCCCCCTCCCTTATACGCTCTCTCTCTCTCTCAGACTTTCTCAGTTCAGCATCTCCTCAAAAAGGAAGGCACCGAGACTCTCCCTTCCAAACTCCCCCCTTCGACCCCTTTCTCCTCTACCCCTCTCCTTGGGATGGGTGCCTCTTATTTATAATAGGAGGGAGGTTTCAAAAAAAAATCTTCAAGGTACATGGGGTCTTTTAGGTTAACTCGGTAATTAGGGTTTGAAAGGGTGCATTTAGGGTCATATTTGGGTAAGGGGTATTTTAGGTAATTTAGAAAGGTGTGGTTTGGTAATTTGGTGAGTGAAACCAAAAAAATCTAATAGAATGCAGATTGCAACAATTAATAATGTTCACAATAAGTACAACTAGATGACTATTAACCATCTGATTCAAGCGTTATTTGCGAAGTATCTTAATGCAGGGCTGGAATAGGAAAAAAAGTAATGGAATGAAAAGTTTGTTGTAGATTTATCACTCAACCCTTCCAAGATCCGAAATCAACTTTACATTTTTCAGGCTTGAACCTATTTGGCCCACCATTGGTGAAAGACTGAAAGTTGTAGGATCCTCGCCTACCCATCCTGCGCCACAGCTTGAAGAGAATATTTTTCCACCATCCAGTAAATGCAGTAAATTCAGATGGTTATAAGCTTTTGCACAGTTGCACTTGCTTATCTTTGGCTCAGATTCTGTGCATTGCTACCAGGTAGGACTAATCAATGGTGGATCCTAAAGCTAAAATCATAGGTAGCAAGTTACATGACTTTTTCAATTGCATCAACATGGAGGAGTTTGGGAAATTTTCACATGGACAACTTAGGCTGCAAATAAAGTGATGGAACTACTCAAAACATGACAGTTAATTTTCAACATTTTGTAAATTATCTCAAACCCCACACCACCTTGAGTTTTATTCTGCACTTTCATTGTTTCTGTGCATGGCAATTTACCCCATTAATATGTTGATCATTATTGATGATATTACTTATAAAAGTATGCATGCTTTAAGAATTGGTATTGTTTACAAATTAGTTATTTAAGATGAAAGCACATTATTTATTGAAGCTTTCCTGGATATGCTCCTTCTGTGATAACGCTTATTTTTTTGAATTTTGATTTGCCTTTTTTTTGGTTATCACCATTTTCTTTCTTCTTGTGATATAGGACAGGATAGGGGTCCTACTAATTAAGATCTAGTAGTGGGCTTTGTGGGGTGAATGAGGGCTGTTGGTGATTATAGATGAAGAATATGAATGGAGAAGCAAGTAGAATGCTTGCTGTTAGGATAAACAGCAATGAGATAGGTCACTTGGAAGGAAAAATAGGTAAGAGAGAGGGGAAAAAAGAGAAAGATTCAGGCAACGACCAGAATTAACTAAATCAACCTTTATTTGATCAAATCAACTCTCTTTTAGCTCCAATTATAGTGACCCTGTTTATAGACTCAACTTATTAGCTCGAATGTCCCATTACAGACTCCAATTTGGACTAGGAAACTGATGTAAAACAACTCCTAATTGTTATAAAACTAATAAAAATCAATAAATAACCCATTAGGGCACTTAAATAAGGACTCCAACTCCTAAACAACTCTAATAACACTTTCCTTGTCCCACTGAAACTAACTTAGTTTAAAGCAGAAGAAATCACTAAAAAAATAATAATTACTATAAATAGTAAGTCCGAAGTTACCATAAATAGTAATTTTTAAACAGCAATAAAACTCCAAGAAACAATACCCTATTCTTAAGATATCCACAACTAGAAAATAAAAACTAAAGCAGTAGCAATATCCTGTAACCCAAAAATAAAATTGGTTTGTTTCCCCATGAATTCTTTCCTTACTTCTCTGCATCTGCATCATCTTGTATTGTTGTTAAAACCAGACATTTTCATACCTCTGGATGTGCAGATACCATCTGTCCATATTCTTCAATACACTACTCAAATTCTTGGGGTAATATTAGCTTTACTCGAGGATCCAGATGAATCAGTTGAATTAACTGCAGTATCATGTTTACTTACTGTGAGTGTTCTTTTCTTTGGACTACATATTGATTTTTCCTTTATTAAGATACATAGAAATAAAACTGAATTACCGGACGCTCTTCATTATTTGTTTGGTAGGTACTTGAATCATCACCTAATGATGCTGTGGATCCTGTTTTGCTTAGCCTTTCAATACGACTGCGAAATCTCCAAGTGAGCTTTTTCTATTTCCACTCTCCCATTGGGAGTCTTTGGTTGTGTGTGTTTTATTCATGATGAGTACCTCCAGTTTAATGCTGGACCCTGAAGCTATATGTCAGATCTTCCTAGGATATGTTACTGTCTATAAAAGATGTTGCTGCTTTGATATTGTTTTGAGTAAGTGGTTTGTTATCATAGATATTACCTTCTTTTAGTGTATTCCTTTGTATTCTCCTTGTACTTTTTAGAGGGGAAAATACTGGTGAAGAAAGACCTTTCTTTCCTTTCTTGTCTCTATTCCTCTTTCTAGTATTGTGTTTGCTACTTCCCCTGCTGCTACTACAGAGATGTCACATAAAGAACAACAGATATAATGCCCATTTCACAGATGACCCCATTATTCATCTACCACAACCATCAGATGTCTCACTTCTGAGTATTTCTTATGACATTGCAAGATCTTTCTTGATCTCTATTCCTCATTCTAGTATTGAGTTTGCTACTTCCCCTGCTGCTACTACAGAGATGTCACATAAAGAACGACAGATGTAATGCCCATTGCGCAAAGATGACTCCCATTATTCATCTACCACAACCATCAGATGTCTCGCTTCTGAGTATTTCTTATGACATTGCACATCTTGCTACCATTAGCCATTTGACCTTCACTTACCTATTACCTTACACAAGTGTACGATGCCCATCCTATATGTAATTCCATTCCTTATAAACCCTTGCCTTCTTCCCGACTACTTCTTCTTTGGTTTTTGTTATCTCTTTTGTTTCTATCCCTAAAAATGTCACAAAGGTAATATTTCATCACCAATGGAAGGACTTAATGACACATGAGATTAAATTTCTAGTGAAGAGCAATACCTAGGAGCTTGTCAATCTACCTGAAGGAAAGAAGCTACTAAGTGGATATTCATTGTCAAATACAAAGACAATGACTCGACAAGTTTTGGACTTTTATATTTCTTCTCATTCTTTGCTTTTTTCTTCTGTCCCCCAAAGCATGAATATGCTATGCTAATTTAAATTAAATGTAATAAAGAAAATACCGGTTTAACTCAAGTCCGTTTATTATGTGTATATGATAAAATAAATGGCATAGCCTTTTTTTCTTTTGAAATATAATTTTCTTATATCTAGCTCTTCATTTCTTCTTATTAATCTCCTCTTCTCTTGGTCAGGCTTTGGTATTTCTCTATAATATAGCTATTACAGCGCCAAACAACATAATGGGCAGCTGTACTGGCAGGKTTAAAAAAGGCCAAAGAAATGAGATACAACAAGTTAATAGTAGAGGTGGACTCCAAGGTCATAACAGGATGGTTGGTAAGTAATGAGGAGGGGCTGCAAAAGCACAGATATGAAACCAGAGAAGCTAAAGAGCTATTAAAGGAATTGGAGGCAATCATTCAATAGACACCTAAGTCTGCAAACAACCTTGCATACAGGCTAGCAAAACAGGGATAACAAGGAATTCAATGTATTGGGGAATAGTACAGCAAGGGGGAGTTGTACTTTGTAAAGAGACTGGGCCAAATGGGCCCTAGCATCTTCTCTTGTAATATCTTTTATTTTATTGTTGGCTAATGGGCCTCTCTTAATGGGCCTGCTATTTCTCTTTGTTTAATCTCTTTATGTTACTGCCTAGCTGGCCGCCCACTTAAGGGCATACTTGTCATCACTCTATTTTTAATACTTAATAAAAGGGGTTAGAGGAGAAAGGAGAAGATATTCGACTTCTTCTTCTCTTTCCTTCTCTTTTCGCCATCTTCTTCTCTTGTATTGCTGCTCTCACTTCTCTTCTTCCTTTCTTCTAATCTTCAAGTTTACACCTAAGATTTGAGGACTGATTTACATCTTGGTATCAGAGCAGGTCGATTTCTTCCTTTTTCTTTCTTCCTTTCCCATACACCTAAAACCCTAGCCGACAGGTGTATGGAGAGATAGGTTCTCTATAGTACAGAGGATCTCTGGCCTAGTTGGTAGAGGGTTTGGAGAGTTTACATCTGGTTGGATATTGCCAAGAAGCGGTGTTGTTCTGTTGCTGCCCGAAACCCTAGCCGACTAGAGATTTTCGAAGGTACCAGGTAAAGGTGATGCTTGGGTGTGGCGCTCTATGCTTGGGAGGTATCTTGTGACTTCTAAAGGTGGGCAGTTCAGGTTTGGAAGAGTTTGGGAAGATCTGGTAGGAGCGACTACATCTTCTCTCTTCCTCCCCAACAGCTGGACGGAGCAAAACCCTAGTTTTTCAAGCAACTGAGTTCTGGTTTGACTTCAAGTAAGTTTATACAGACAAAATTTCTGGTTCTTTGATTTTCGTTTGATTGATGGAGACATACGGAAGTGAGTTCAAGCAAGTG